GCCCAGCCACAGCAGGGACGGGTCGGGCCAGGCTTCACCTCTCACTTCCAGGAGTTCAAACTGATCGTACTTTTACAGACCAGGTTGGGAGATTTAACTTGATCTTCCTGGTCTTCCTGGCTGCCAATTTTTTAATTTCCAGGGAAACATAATGGATTTTCTTGCTGCTTCTTTCACAGACAGGCCAACATACAGCATAAATATTTTGACCATCAGCTCTCTTACAAACTACCTCCCCTCTCAACCAAAGAGAAGAGAGTAATGCAACAGAACAGTCAAAATAAGCTTTCCTACAAGAATTACTAGATAAAACTGTTGTTATAAGAGAAAGATGATGGAGGGGCGCCTTGCTGGCTTAGTCGGTAAGCATCTTGACTTCGGCTCAGGTCATGATCCCAGGGTCCTGGGATCGAGCCCCGCATCGGGATCCTCGCTCAGCAGGAAGCCTGCTTCTCCCTCTCCCACTCCCCCTGCTTGTGTTCCCTCTCTCGCGGTCTCTCTCTCTGTCAAATAAATAAATAAAATCTTTTTAAAAAAGAGAAAGATGATGGAGTGATACAGAAAGTATAACTTTAATCATTGCACACTTTACTGGATTCTGACTCTCCAGTTGATGTATCAAAATGATTCTGGCACATAGCAGTCTAGGGAGATGAGAATAGATCGCAAAAGTAGGATAGAAATGGGTCTTGGGACCCTGTGGAAGGGTAGAGTAATTACAAGTGATATCGAGGAGATGCAGAATTTCTACAAAAGTCCATGTTGATGCTAGTTCTCAATCCAACACCCTCTTTCCTATCAGTAGGAACCAATAGTTTTAGAATCACTATGGAGCATGGTCAATGTAAACTATTATCATTGGTGACAGCTAACTTTTCTTGAGCACATACCATGTGCAGATATCACTCCATTGCCCTCTCTTAATGAGGGCAGATGTCTTGTTATCTTGGATACTAGTGCTTTTAATTCCTTAAAATATGGTTATGGAGATGCAAGTTGCTTTTTTCCTCCCTGAAACTCTGTTTTTCATATTCCTTGATCTTATTCTTTTAAGTATATCTGCATAGCTTCAGTCATCGTGATTGGAAAAGTCTTTCATTATGTTTTGCTGGATGGTCCCCAAAAGAAGAATTAGATCTTGTGGAAAACAGATGGTTTTAAAATTCTGAGGTCAGTAATGGGATGACATCCAATCCAGAAAAGGAAGCAAAAAGGCCAAAGACCATGGTGGGTAAATAGAAAAAAAAAAAAAAAGAATAGGAGAATATAGCTCAGTGATTTGTATTTGGGGTATATGAGTAAAGCCAGGACAAGCTATATGTAACTAGGTTCCTTTTTGCCTTTTCGGTGGCCAGGGGGAGGGAGTAAAAATTACTCTTATGATAGAAGGGAGTTATGTTATACTTTTGCGCTCTTCAGTCATAATAAAATAAAGAAAAATAAATTAACTAGATAAAGAGAAAAGAGCAATGTTTAAATATGTTTGGGATTTTGTGGATTTTTTAAACCATAGGCAAAATCCCCTGCCCTGTTTATGTTATAGTGGGAGTGAGGATCAGACATTAAACTAGATAAGTAAGTAATATGACATTTTAATTTTTATTTATTTTATCTAAGGATTTTATTTATTTGTCAGAGAGTGCACAAGCAGGGGGAGCAGCAGGCAGAGGGCGAGGAGGCTTCCCGCTGAGCAAGGAGCCCGAGTACTTGATCCTAGGACCCTGGGATCATGACCTGAGCTGAAGACGCTTAACCGACTGAGCCACCCAGGCATCCCAGTAATATGACATTTTTAGAAGGTGATAAACTACATGGAGAAAATTCAGCAAAGAAGGAGGATTGCAAATGCTATGGTGGGGGGAAGGGCAAAATGGCTGTAATAGAGATTTGTTTGAAGAGCTAGAGAGGGCACTACTCACTGTATCTGGGTACATGTGGGTGTCTTCAGAGAGGTGCTATGTGTAATTCACCAATTCCTTAAGTCCTACAGGTACCTGAAACTTAACAACCTCATACTAAATTCATCTTATTTTGTTCCAAACCTGTCCTCTGTGCTTCCTCAACCCCTGCCCCATGCACTTGATTCTGCTAACTGAACATGTTGAGTCCAGGTTCTTCTCCAGCCCCACTGGCTTCCAGAGTCATGCAATAGCTTCCTAAGTGGTCTCCTTGCAACCACCCTCACCTCTATTCCTTCTGTTCTCCATTCTGCCACCAGAATGATCTTTCTAAAATTAAAATGCTCTGCAATGCCTAGAGGATCAACTTCAGACTCTTAAATGCATCCAAAATTCTCCATGACTTGGCTTCTTCCCCTTCTCAAGAATTTTCTTTGCCCTTTCCTCAAATAAATCTGAGTTTCTAGATATAACAAACTATTTACAGTTTGCCCAACTGTCCCAACTTTCCTGCTCTTGCACATTTTGAGATTGAAATCACCTGTTGTCTGACTTTTAAATTGCCATTTGTCCCTCAAAATCCACCTCGAGTCATGGTCTTTATTTTTTTTATTATGTTAATCACCATACATTACATCATTTGTTTTTGATGTAGTGTTCCATGATGCCTTGTTTGTGTATAACACCCAGTGCTCCATGCAGAACGTGCCCTCTTTAATACCCATCACCAGGTTAACCCATTCCCCTACCCCCTCCCCTCTAGAACCCTCAGTTTGTTTTTCAGAGTCCATAGTCTCTCATGGTTCATCTCCCCCTCCGATTTCCCGCCCTTCATTCTTCCCCTCCTGCTATCTTCTT